ATGAAAATCTTTAATTGTGGATTAAGATGGTGTTTTTCTTCTCCTCCATTAATTTCTTCACCGTCATTCATCTCCTCGTCAAATTGAGTTGTCGTTGAAGATCGACATAGTTAACTATGTACAAAAGGTAACTATGTTTCTCATAATAGTTTACTAGTATGTATGTTTTTTTTCCATTATAATAGACAACTATGTTTTTAATAATAGTCAACTATGTATGTTAATAACTACGTTTAAACTAGTTAACAATATTTGTTTAAATAGCTAACTGTTACAACAACATTTTCATATAGTCAACTATGTCTTGAAATCAGTTGTGCAGTTAACTATGCTATTAAAATAGTTAACTATGTCCTGAAATCAGTAGTGCAGTTAACTATGCTCTTAAAATAGTTAACTATATCTTAGATAGTTACAAATAATGTGTTGTAGTTAACTATTTTATGAGATGTTTTAGAAATAGTTAACTATGTTATTATATAGTTAACTGTTAATGTGTTACAATATATTTGTTTTTTTGTCATCTTCTGATGTAATTTTTTTTTTCCATGGCAGTTGTGTAAAACACACATTCTATGGCAGTTGTGCAAAACACACATCTATTTTTGGCAAGAATAAAATCGCAGGAGCAATTTTCCAGAGATTAAATCAAGAAAAAATTCTTAGAGTTTTTTATATATATTTATCTTAATTTAGTTGTAAAGGCAATTTCGTCATATTTTTAATTTTTTTTGTTAGTTATTTAATTATAGTTTTGGATATGTTACTTTCCTAATTATTGATTTCAAAAGTAATATTCACCTAATTAACTATATATTTTTCTTCATCAAACAATACAAACTTACATAAAAATATATACATGTAAATGAAAAATGTTATTCATCAAACTCCATTCTTATAAATGAGAAATATTATTCTTCAATAGTATCCGAATGTTTTTTTTTATGCGTCGACGTTGTATGTTATCAAACTTTCTAAAAAATTCCAAAGAAAACACGAATTTTTTAGTCATTTTGAATGGATTATATTTTTATGCATCAAACAATACAAACTTACATAAAAATATATACATTTAAAAAAGAAATTCATACATGCATACACATATTTTATTATTATTATTCGGAATATCTCATATATATTTTGAATATATATTTAATTAGTTGTCAATGTCATGAAGATACAAATTTAGCAAAAAGAAAAAGACATGTCTCACACTAGATGCTGTTCTATGAACACTATTTATTAGACTATATTTATTACACTTATCTTTTTTATTAACCCTAGGGTGGGGTCAACAAACCATGGTTAAAAAATTATCTTAATAATGATTATGAATCTCAACCACACAACTTGGATTTCTCATTATCAACAGTCTTCAACTTCTCATCTCATCTTCCTCCATGAAGGTCGAGTAATAATAATACAACAATTTTTTTTAGAAATGTTTGTTTTCTAATCTCATACCTGTCCAATTACCTAAACCCATACCCTCAAATTCCCAAATATTTATCACCTTTACGATTAAATAAACATTTCCGTTTATCTTATCCTCACCTCTTCTTCTCCAATCTTTTACGAAACCATATTTTAGTTGTTTAATCATATTTGTATCCAATTACCTAAAACACATCCTCAAAATTCTCAAAGGTTTATTTTCATTTTCGAAAACCCTAAATGTTTTGAGTCATGGATGTAATAGCTACGACTATGACTACTATAGTCTCCGACTTGGATTCAAGGCAACTCGAAATCGAAGATCCGACCCGGATCCAACCCGCGAAGCCTATTTCTTTCTCTAACGGCAAACGCTGCCACCATCGACCCGCGTCTGAAGCGGTTGCGACTTATAAAGAATGTCTAAAGAATCACGCCGCCGGAATCGGCGGTCACGCTTTAGACGGTTGCGGCGAGTTTATGCCGTCTCCGTCGTTTAACTCCACCGAGCCTACTTCTCTAACGTGCGCCGCTTGTGGTTGCCACCGTAACTTCCACCGTCGAGAAGAAGATCGTCCTTCTTCCGTCTCCGCCGTAGTTCCGGCAATGGAGTTTCGTCCGAACAACCGTCATCAACT